GGATAAGGAACACCTGCGTGCAACGTGCGAATGGTGCAAGAAGAGACTCCGGGCCTGAATTCGTGCAGGTGGAGGACATTTTGAAATCTGTTGTTGCATGTTGTTGTATATGATGTTAGTATAATTATGTTTATATTCAATTACCATTCTGTGTCCAACAGCTCAAAAGACATTGCAATAAATAGGCGCAAGTAATTTTGGGACATTCTGTATAAGCTGAAGCCTATGCCTAAACCCAAGCTTCAGCTCAGGCTTCAATGATCGCGCAGCTCTGGTGGCCTGACCTAGGAGGTAAAGCTGAACGTCTTCCAATTTAGTGCATGACATATTCTAAGCACATTGTTCGAAGCTAATCGAAGTGTTACAGAGCAGGTGATTCTGACGAGGAAGAAGCAGACTACATGACAACCATTATCGTGGCTTGCGGTGTTGGATTTGTGCTAGTCGCAATATGTATAGTTCTCGCTGTGATGATTATGCAAAGAAAACAGCATAAAGAAAAAGTAGCACTGATGGAATCGTTAGAGAAGAAAAAGAGGAAAAAGAGAGGCAAGAGTAGCAAGAGCAAGAAGAGCAAGAAGAAGAAGAAGGGCAAGGGCGAGAAGAGTGAAATAGTTGTCTGGAAGTGGAGCACTGGGTGCCTCCTCCTCCGAAAGAGTGGTGCTCCTCCTCCGAAGTAGTGTCTCTCCGAGGTGGCTGCTTCCTCTCTGAAGGCAGGTGCCTCTCGTCCGAAGGCGATGCGCTCTCCGATGCGGTGGTGGTGATGTTTATTCCTTATGCTGGTTAGAGTGGTCGTTGACTGGAGTAATAATAATTTGAATAGGAGTGAAGTGTGAACTTTCAGGAGGTGGAAAGTCAGCTATGCTTAAGATCTCGAATCGCGAGAAAGGGTATAAGGGGTAAGTTCTGCCAAAGGCCCTCAACTAGGCGCGGCGAATCCGGCATGTAGCACAAATGGCTCGAGCATTAAGCAGTGCCAGCACTCTGTAAGCCAATTTAAAAGTAGGACCTCAGATACTTTATGATTCGAAGGGAGGGCTAGATAGTAAATGGGCACTAGGTTTTTTCGATTTGAAAGAGAAAATATTCACGAGCTAGAAATATTTCATTCGGTAGTTTGAGCAATAGTCTTTGATCTTTTCCTCTTAGCGTACCGTGCGTACAATCAAGTGACGAGGTATCGGTGTTGGGCCGTCGGGGGTTCTTCATAGTTGCGCTATCTAGGAGGATTGTGGTTCGTAGGAGACCCCGCGTGAATGATTGATGGGGTAAGTTTATCAAGGAATAGGTTGTCGTTCTTGCGGCCATGTTCGGGGGACAATTGCGCGGATGGTGGTGGTAGCGGTTGGTATAGAAACTACCATGGTTAGGGTGGTGGTCGGGGTGGAGAAGGGGCAGGTGGTGTTGGGGACCCCAACAAAAGTGACGGTGGTGGTGAGGGATCGGAAAATTTCTGGAATTGAAGTATGAGGTACGCTTGACCCTACTCTGCTGGCTTTTAAAATTGTGCCCAACGCTGGTTGACCTTGGTGGGGCCTCAACTGGGTCTCGCTGACCCGTTCAAGTCTACCACGTGTCGCTCTTTCTTTCCGTGTCCAAGATTTACATAACTTCGATCGTGGGGTGTGCCTTTAACTAATATTTCCACTTATGACATCCGTTCTAGCGAGGCTGTTACAGAGTGAAGCGACCGGAAGTGCGGAAACGATTTCCTCAACCTTGGGTGAAAGAGACAAACAAGACTCAGGATCAGGAGAGCAGGATTCCGAGAGGAAATAGTTGGCCGATCACAAAACCACAAGCGAGCCGGTTTAGAAGAATATGGTCAGGACATCATCGACAGGTTACTGTTGCTACCTTATAATAAAGCTTTTAATCGTATTGAAGTTTTGAAAATCGTTCCCTGTTCATCACGATATTCGTTTGTGCAGGCATACTGATAAAAGTTACTCACTGAACAGAGGAAAAGACAACAAAAAAAGCGTATTATAGGCGGCTTACCATAGCAAAAAAGGCAAAGCGAAACACTGTAGCCCCGCGTCAGACTTTGCGAATCCAGCGATTAGTTTGGATCGATTCGCTGGCTCTCGCCACTTTCCTGGGCTTACGAGGGTAAGGAAATGGGAACGCATGTGTGCTCGGAAAGGTGGCGAAAGTCAACGTGCAAACCAGAGGGACTTCCGCCACTTTTAAACAGTGCCAAGTTGCTGGTACCGTTCAACCGCTAGTAAACAGCTCGGGTCTGTTGTTGGACGGCGGGCATCTGCTGACTGCAACGTGCTAACAAACAAGACGTATGTCAAAAGAGGCAGCGTTCTAGAGGCAAACAATCGCACACTTTGTTCAGTTATCTAACCAGGAAGGTCGTTCAGAGCGTGCCAAGCTTTTTTAAACGGGTTTTTGCATGATATAGGGAACACATGCAGGAACCACAAACCATGGTTTTATTTTTCCTGAACGGCTCTCTGAATACCAAAAAAGGGGTGATGAAGGGGTCCGTGGTTCGATTCCTTGCGATGACAAATTTTTGCATTTCGGGTTGGCGTCTCAGAATTTGCGCAAAATGGCGTCAGTGCCAAGAATGGATGTCATTTGCATAATAAGAACCGTCACCAACTCTCACAAGTAGCTTTTGTCCAAAAAACGGGTCCTGGCATTTGTGACCTCCAAAAGGGCACCAATGTAGCACAAATGGCGTCATTACGGCTTCAGATGATGTCCGCACCAAAAACGAATGTCATATTCGTAATCAGGGCACTGAATAACCCCTATATCCGAAATTTCAAGGAAAACAAGATTTTGACCCAATTTCGAACAGTTGGACCATGGGTAAGCCACTAGCTATCAGGCCTGATGGTAGATGATATGAAAGCGATCTCCTCGTTATCTAGAATCGGACTCTAGAAACGAGAAATCCTGAGCTACAATGAGCAATGGCAGACAGCCATGCCGGTGATGGCCGATGGACCACGCACGAAGAGTGGGTCACTATGTTTTCCTTCCTTCAAATAGTGGCATGTTGAAGTTTTGATCCTTCCCCTGGCTAGGCCTCTTGTCGGTAGAAAGGTCGGCTCCAAAGATGCAAGGAAGTGTGACACGTGTCTTATAGAGACAAGACGTCGGTCTCCGTGTTTATCACAAGAGGATACCCCATTTTCCGCTCCGAGCTCGCCTCCAAGCCGTCCGTGGACACACGTCGGGTTGTCCCTACGGCCAGTCCAACTTTTCGAAGTCGAGTCAAAATCTCGATTTTCCCCAAAACTTCGGTGTTAGGGTTAGATCAGCGCCCTGATCACGAAGATGACATTCTTTTTGACGCCAGCGCAATTTGGCGCCATCTTGGCGCCACGACATTTTTCCCACAATTGTTGAAGAAAATTCATCCTAATGGGGTTATATTTGTGGCCCTAACCATATATGGAGTCTAACATAGAGATAGTACCACTTGGCACCCATTCTGAGGTGCCAGCCAAAAATGCAAAAACCGCACGCCGTAGGGAGTCGAACCAGCAACCCCGTGCCAACTTGAGTCCGTCGCACTAACCACTAAGCCATTCAGTGCACATGCACACTGGCACCGAAATCCCTTATGAAGTCATGCCACTTTCTCCAGCACATAGCTTGGACAAACGCAATATTTTGTTAGAAGTTCGCGTTGTTTTCAATGCACGGATAGCGGTAACCCTTTAATATGACATCAGTCAACGTTGTGGACGATATGCCCCACAATGAAGCACTAAACGACCTCAGTATATGCATCCGCCGAGCGCCACAACAGCGACTAAAAAAGCTACCGTGGCGCGCACTATATGACGGCCACACTATCATCTCTTTGGATCGGCCCAGAATTCGCCGATGGTGTATCGAGTTGCTTAACGTGTCAATGATCCCAGTACGATCGCTCTTCACGAGTCAACCTTCTCGACATTGAACATAGTCGCACGCGTGTGGAGACTGGAACCTAAGCCGACACCAGTCGTGTTTCCAGGAGCAAGCTGGTCCTCTATAAAAAGTGATCAGCGCCCAATCGAGCTATCTGGGGAATCATCCCTCTCGATAAGTAGAGCATTAAGACGCTACTACCCGAAATCCGTCAGAGCGCACCGCACAGCGGCCTCGGCTCTTTGTTTGCAGCGAAAGCAGTGAGAATTGAGCGGTGCGACATCCTAACTTTTCCCTCTCACATCGCACAAGATCCAAACGGAATCGAGGGGTTAGCGCAGACTGACGCTTGAGTCCGAAGAAGAGTTCTCGCCTGGGGGCCTGATCTGCGCTTGCACTGAGTGTGCCAGATGTGTAAGACGACGCATGTTGTGGCGAGCTCGTTCTCATGCTGATGGTCACACGGAAGGTGGTGACGGGGAAGCTACAGGAACATCTTATTGTATGCAGTGGAAGTATACCCCCATCGATATCCTTTTGCACCCAGTAGGCCGACCGCATTCGCGAACCCCCGTGGGTCATCGAATATGTGGCTTCCAGCTTACTTCACGATCCCCGACCTGTATCTATCTGCACTTTGCAAAGAGAGCAAGCGATAGTCACTGGCGACTAAACAGGCCGGCTCTTCGGTGGAACTTGAAGACGTCTTTAACTCCGGCTAGAAGTACACGCGCAGCAAGACAGAGTAACTTCATGAAGCACCACGCATGTAGCACGGAGGAAGATGATGCACGTTATAAGATCATAGTGGCGAGCGAATAGTCCTATACGCGCACGAAACCGGCTGCGATCGGATCAGGAGGCTTCGCCGCTAAAGATATCACCGAGCAAGCAAGACAAATATCTTCATGAAGAGGCCACCCAGCCCCCACACGGCACCTGTAAGGCACAGACGGAGGAGGTGGCATAAAACGTCGTAATAGAGACAGAGCCACTAGTCCGCAGAACCTGACTTTGAGAACCGCATGACGGTCCCACCACCGTCTTCCGTAGCTTCAGAGTTATCGTACTCAGCGATACGAAATTGATCCCTCTCACGATCCGAAAGCACCGTAGTTTCAACCGCGAAGTTTCAGGCCTGAAGATCGGCGACCCTGGGAGTACTGTCGGAGCTGGTAGATCTCGCGTTGCGATAAAGTGTCGGAATAAGTGGCCACAAGGTCCATAAGAACGCGATGCAAGTCAACGGGAGTAGTTGGTGCTCCCTCTTGGAGTGAAGTGTCTGCAACAAAACGTAGCACTCTTAGATCCTGGTAGTCGTTAAGAGCTAACAGTGTTTCAGTAAGGTGTGCAACAGCAACGTTTGTTGTGGCAGTAGCGACGAGGAGGTTTCCCGGAGTAGCTAGACGGGCCGCAATGATGGCTGCTACGAGGGTTTTCCCAGTTCCATATGCCGCCTGAACAGCAAGAATCGGTCGGTTTTCAGTTCCCATCTGGACAGCACGTGCCTGATCTTCCCGGAGATCAAGCCTCGTTCCACGCAGACGGACGGAGATCGGAGGTGGTGCTGCTTGATGAGTGAGTGAGCTGACAATAAACGGTCGAATCGGGCTACCATATACTGTGTCCAGAATGGTGTTAGAAAGGGTGGAAGGGGGACGACGCAGAGAATTAGCAAAGTCCTCAGTAGCCAGCAGTTCGAACACTGGATCGGTTCCTGAATCAGGTCGCCCGAGTCGGAGAGAGATGTCGACTTCGGCCTCTGTATCATTGGAAAGCATCGAACCATAGCGACGGATGGCTCTTCGAAGGATGTGGTGGGTACGTGGCTCCGATTGAAGTTCGACGCTAATGGTCCTCTGGTCCATGGAGAACTCAGTACGGCTGACTCTGGTACGCACGACGGTGTTAGAGTCCATGACCCAGACGCTAACCGAACGGGAGCGTAACCATCCGCTTTCCGTTGGCATCGTCAGAAGGTCGAACTGGAGACGTAACGGTAGGGCATCTAAGCTGGGGACAACTGCTGTGACGGTGTGGGTAGCTTTGTCGTCCATCAATGTAGCCTGAGCTGATAGAGCTGCACTAGCGACGGAGAAGAGCTTCCCCATGCGGCGACGAGCAACATCAGGGTGTCTGGCATAGTTGGAGAACTCTCTCAATCGGTCCATGATCCACTGATGGTCTTCTTGATGAAGTCGAGTGACGTGCAACGGAAGGATGGCTTCTTCTGGGTGTGCTGGAAGGAAGCGACGCACTTCGTTGATGAGGAACTCTTGAGCAGCTACGGAGATTGGAGAATGCGAAAATCGCATGGCACAGGATACATTCGGTCTGGTTTCGGCCAGCAGAAAGTCTTCTCGTTCGATCAGGTTCAGGGGAAAGTCACATAACGACTGAGAGATGCGTATTGCCTCTGGACATCCCTCAAGAGCGACGTGAATGTTGTTGACAAAGCTGAGGTCGTCTCCGTGTCGAGCGACGTCAACGACCATCCCTAGCACGTTTCTTCGAGTGCACGGGGGAGTGACGAAAAGGAATTCGTGAACTCTGAGAAAGTATGGGTTCTTCGACTCAACAACAGAAGATCGTGGAAGTCGTGCTTGCTCCAATATGGCACTGCGATCCCAGCTACGTAACGTTCGAGGAGTGGGACGAAGAGAAATTACCCAAACGAAGTCCTTGACTGAAAGGTGATTCCTGTCGAAACCTCGTGTCTGGGTAAGAACGTTGACAGAGGACTGGGTCAGAGGAATACATTGGAGCTCTGGGTGGTCTGGTCCTGGGATGAAGAAGTCTTTAGCTTCCAATATCGCTCCTTGACCATAAGTTCTTGAGACGACTTGGTAGAGGACCGGACGGATTCCTTGTCGTGCCGGTGGAAACAATGCCGACGGAGGGACGCCCGGAGCAGTCCGTGGTAGGGCTTCAATGGTGTCAGAATCGTCCCGAAAACGGTGATCGAGGAGATCCATCGTCATTTGCTCTGCCTGCTGACGAAAGGCGATGATATCATGCAGCCTTGTGATCTCCATAATTGGCACTCTGTTTGTCGCCGATGGCAATCCTCTGAAGCAACGTGGGAATAATGATCGGACGAAACGGCTAGCGAAGTATCCATGAGAAGGTATCTGCCGGTAGACATGTAGTGGAAGATCCGCAGTGACCGTGTCTTCCGACAGATTAGGCAGGTCCGGCCGGGGTCGTACGTGAATACCCCACGGATGTAGGTGGGAGAATTGGTTATGGTAGTCAGGAGGAGTGTGCTCCAGCTCTGGTGGCTGATCCGGGTAAGGCTGGATGCCCCGGACAGGTGTCGTGTACGCAACGGTCCGAGCTCGTTTAGGTGGAGTCGAGTCGTCTGTTGAAGCAGAAGACGAACGCCAGGCTGCCGGTGGAGTAGGACGAAAACGTACAGACAGGTCTGACGAAGAGCGAGCAGGTGATAGTGCACGACTCCTCTGCAGGTTGAGGAGCCGAACCGAGGGACATATGCTGGAGAGCTGCTGAGGGGGCTGAAATAGATGAAGGGATAGGGGAAAAACGGAGGGGAGTGCAGGAGATGTTAAACGCACCTTCCAGGGTTTCATTGGAGCTGCTCGAGTGGGAAGACCTCACTGGCTGTGTTGCAGCCGATGAAGCATGTGCTGGTGGAGCAGGAGTACTGGTACTAGTCGAAGTAACCAAAGACGACGACGGTGTTGTAGATAAAGTGTCGGAAAGTAGGGCAGAAGCACCTGATTCTAACGAGGGCGGGGGCTGAGAGCCTATAAGAAGATCCTCATGAGCTGGTTTCACTGTGCAGTCAAAAGAAGGCTCACCCGAAGTCAAAGACTGCTCCCCTGGATCGCGGGCTGGAGCCCCGCCGACTGCTTCAGTTGGTGCATGACTCATGATACACGAGTCTATCTGAAAAGGAAGGAACCTGAGAGGGTGACCCTTGTGCTAAACAATGGCGACGCGACATCGAAACGTGGCGAAGACCAAAAGATGCAATTCGACAGAGAAATGGTAAAAGCAAGATAAGCGGATAGAGAGAATCGAAGGGCGAGGGAAAATGCAGATGCCGACGAGAAGCGCAGTTGTCCTAGAACGACGACAGGCGACTCCTGAAACGTGTATTATAAGAATGCGAACAAGTCGGCTTGTTAGGTGGAGGGTTGAGCTGGCTTGGATCGGGGACAGCATGCGAATAGCCGGGGATGGTGATACTCTTGGCGTGCACTGATGCGAGAGCGCTGGCCTCAGCTTCCGGAACCCACGGTGACGTAAAAACCGGCCCTGATGGAAGAAAACACTTTTTGACCTGATTCATGTGAACGACCTTAGGCTTAGATTGAGGGGCTGTGATGCTGACAATGGTGAGGTGAGGGTGGTCCACCGCAATAACCCGGAATTGTCCCAACCAAGGATAACGTAGCTTAGCGGAGAGACCGAGGGCGGGCGTGAAATCCCGCAGGTAGACGCGATCGCCTACTTTGATGTTTAGTGCAGGAAGGTGGGCCTTGTCGTACTGGCGCTTCATCGCTGCGCTGCGCTTACGGTTGTGTTCTGACGCTGCAGCCCAGACGGAGTGGAGCGTTTTGACGAGAGACTCTTTATAAATATCACCGTTTGCATCGGACGGAATGTGCCTCTCCACCGCATGCTTGATCAGGAGGTCAATGTTGAGGACCGGGTCGCGCCCGAACATGAGAAAGAAGGGCGATTCGTTGGTACTGCTGTGGATGGAAGTATTGTAGGCTAGCACGCACGCGGGTAAAAAGAGATCCCAGTCGGACTGTGTGGGGCTTATGTAGGTGCGGAGCATTTCCTGGAAGGTTCTAAACACGCGTTCGCAAGCTCCATTGCCTTCATGATGATAGGGTGTCGTAAAGTAACGCCCTATCTGCAACAAACGACCCAGCTCGGACATCAGATCACCTCTAAGATACGACGCATTGTCGGATACGAGGACAGTCATTGCTCCGAAGACGAGCACACAACGGCTCATGACGGCGTGAGCCACTGTGACCGCAGTGCAGTCCGGAATTGGAGTAGCAATGACGAATTTGGTGAAGTGGTCGATGAGGCACGCAATATATTTGTTGTTCCGTGGCGTGCAAAGGTACGGCCCGCTGAGATCGAGATATACCTTGTCGAATACAGCGCCGGCGTGGACGGGTATCAGTGCTTCCTTGGAAAGGGGGTGCGACCGTTTGCGTTGGCACTCCTCGCAAGATCGGACAAATGTGAAAATGTCGTCGCGCATGGAGGGCCAGAAGAAGCGACGGGATACCTTAGCAAGAGTCTTTTTCCAATTGAAATGTCCACCAGCCGAAGGGCTGTTATGTAGGGCTATACAGATCGGTTCACGAAGCTGCTGGGGAACGAAAATGACCGGCGAACGCGAGTGCTTAGGATTTCTGAAGTAGAGACACCCATTCGTCTTAAGCATGCACCGGTCTACCAATGCTAGGCAGGATTCCTTGAGAGCGGAGGTGATGTCGTGCGGAAACGAACCAGTGTCCAAGAAGTGCATAAGCGCCCTGCAGAGGAGATCCTCCTTCTAAGCCAAAAGGGCGTCATACGGGCGAACGTACAACGGAGGGGCCAGAGGAGGACCTTGGACGGCGGAAGACGCAGGATTGGGATCTGTCGTCGGTTGTCGGTGTAAAAGACAACGGGGAAATTCAATTATGTCGTCGGCCTCCGGCATGTTATCGTCGAACCTGTGGTTGGGGTTCGAGTTCCGGCTAAGATGATCGGCGACGACGTTGGAAGAGCCTTTTTGGTATTCAATACTGATATCGAAACTTTGAAGCTCTACTACCCAACGAGCAAGATGATCATGTGGTTTACGATTACGTAAAAGAAATGTGAGGGGTCTATGATCACACAAGACTCTAGTGTGGTTGCCGTAAATAGTGGATCGAAAAAAACGGAGGGCACTAATTATAGCAAAAAGCTCGATGTGCGTAGGGCTCCATTTCTGCTGGGAGGGGGAAAGTGTCTTGCTGAAATAGCCGATGGCTACCGGAGGCAAAGATGTGTCCTGTATCTGAAGGAGTGCAGCTCCCACGGCGGTTTTGCTGCCGTCAGTGTGAAGAATGAACTCCTTGTCTTGAGGAAAGGATAAGCATGGGCGGCTAATTAATGCTTCCTTCAAGCGAGCAAATGCGGCCGCTTGGGGCTCCCCCCACTGGAAGGCAACCGAACTTTTACACAGGGCATACAAAGGAGCCGCAATAGATGCAAAATTCTTGACGAATTTGCGGAAAAAGTTGGCCATGCCCAGGAAGCTTTTCACAGCGCGAAGAGTTGTGGGAAGTAGCGAGGTCGCGGATAGGCTCGGACGTTCCGTTCAGCTGGGGCATAGGATGAACCAGAGATTTCATGCCCGAGGAAGGTGATCTTGGACTGAGCGATACTCGTCAGTTTTTTCCCGGAAACCTTGATATTAAAAATACGGAACCTATCCAAGACTTTCCTGAGCGACTGGAGATGTGCATCGAAATCGTTATCGAAGACGATAATATCGTCCAAGTACGCCAGACAATTGTCGTCCAATCCGGCCAGGATGCGTGACATAGCTCTACAAAAGTAGGCTCCAGCGTTCCGAAGACCAAAGGGAAGGTAGACGAATTGGATAAACTCCTCGATGAGTGGCCCAACCACATTTCGCTTGGCTTTCGGGAGACAGCAGCAGCTGCATGTACCCCGATGCCAGATCGAAAGGAGGTGTAATATCTTTTCCCTGCGACACGTTGAAGGAGATCATCAATCCGAGGAAGGGGGTACCGATCTGGGATGGTGATCTCGTTCAAAGGGCGGAAGTCGAGGCAGACGCGCAATGAGCCATCTTTCTTCTTCACTAAGACGGTGTTATGTAGCCAAGGGGTATCGCTCTCGACAATTCGGCCCGACTTCAGGAGTTTGTCGATGTGCTCGTCCAGTTCTTTCTGGAATCGGGCTGGTATACGGGTGGGTCTATACCGAGAAGGCGGCGTTTCCGTGGTAGTTTTTATGGTGATGCGTGTATGGTCATAAGAGCCAAGGTCATAGGGTGACGTAGATATTCGGTCGCGATATTCCTGGAAGAGCTGATGGAGCTGCTGTTTTTGCTCGCATGTAACCTCGGCATGAGAAAGATCGATAAGAAACGAAGAAGGAACGGAAGGAGTAGAATGCTCGGAGTCGTCGAGCACGCTGACTGTGCTAAAAACGCTGGTGAAGCTCCACGACCGTGCCGCTGGGTAACTCGAGGACCGGTCGGGCTGAGGTGAGGTGCTGGTCCTTGTAGATGACCTTAGGTGTGTCCGTGGGGTTGCTCAGATACAGCCGCGGATTACTTGCGTGGGAGATTGCCGGCGCGACGAAAATGTGGTCCGATGACAGTATCGCGCCTTCTAAAAGAAGAGCCGCGTATTTAGGATCGACGTTAGCCACGTAGCAAGGCACAAAAACCTCAGATGCGGGGGGCACCACAGTGGTGACCGCGGCCCGGACCGGAATCCAATCTGCTCCTGAAACCGACGACAGAGCTCCATTTGGAGGTAGCGCAAGAATTGGGAGCGGTTCACCTCCTACAAGAAAGATTCGTTGGGGATAGTTGAGTGCCCACAAAGGGA